AGAGAGAGAGAGAGAGAGAGAGAGAGAGAGAGAGACCAAAGCTTTGATGCTTTTGCCTCATCTTCTTTCAGTTTCTTCATAGAAATGATTGAAACAGTCTTGTTTTATTACGTTCAATCTTATGCATATTCAAATCAAACCTTTTTTCATTAATTAACTTTAAAATCAAGCATGATTTATGATGTTATTAAGATTGGAAAGGACTGGATGGTATGACCTATTGGAATAGGGACTAGGCCTGAGATTAGCACGGTCTGATCATTGAATCTCCTGTTGGTCAAAAGGTGTCAAAAACTGGCTTGAGCCAGGTGGTCCAACCAGTTGGTCTGGTTGAACTAGCCGGTTCTTTACTGGTTTGGAGTGGTCTTGACAAGTTTTTGTATGTTTTATAGATGTTTTATTTATGATTTCCAAGCTGATCTGACAGGTGAATTGGCTAATCGAATTGGTTTGGATCATTGTTTTAAAATGCAGCCGCATCATTGCATATATGCTATGCACCCTGAAGCGCATTGCATAAGGGCACATATGTGCTTTGGTGGGATGCACCTGCATATGAGCCACATCCCATCGCATAACGCATGGCGCATATGCGTCGCATAGCTCATGGGAGAAAATAAAACCCATTAGCATGGGTATTTTTATTATTTCCCCCTGAAAAGGGTTTTGAGGGGGTATTAAACCCCCCTCTCTCAAACACAAAAAAAGCCATAAATGTGGTCGTTTTAAGATCAGATGAAGAGGAAAAAAATAAAATTGTTCAAAATATTTTTTGAAAAAAATTGTTGATTTGATCTAGATATTGGTTGGGCTTCGATTTGGGATTGGCTTGGGCGTTGTTTTGAAGGAGTTTGATAATATTATGTCTTCTAAGGTCTAATGTCTTCTATAAAATTAGTTTCAAGTTTCTAGTTTCTATTTTTTATTTCTAATTTCTTCTATCAGGGGATTCAGAGTCTCCGACAGCTGATAATGTTGGAATTAATGAATAAAGTACATAGCTACTATCTCATCGGTTCCTTGAGGCGCATTGGTTCCTTGACTGCATCAGGACCATATCACGCATTTGAAACATTGGTTTGGATCGAATCGGTGCTCTCCTTGAGTCCAAATAACATTGATGCTTTTCTAAATCCTTTCTGCAAAGTAATATGTAGTTTTGATATTTTATATTCTCTCTTACGAGACGTAAGAGGAAAATGTAAAAGCTTATCATGACAAAGCAATCCTACATACAGATATTCTTTGTAGCTTATTTTATTTTTCCGATGGACCTCTATTTTGTATTTTTCCATGCACACATTTTGTCTTTTAATAAATTATTTTCATAATACATCCGAGAGAATTTAGGTTTGACAACAATAGGCAATAAGATGAGAGAAAGTAGACTTAAATGGGTTGGCGATGTGTTGTGTATACCCAGTACAACGCCTGTTAGGTGGTGCGAGTTAGTTCAAGTGGAAGACTTAAAAAAGGCAAGATGTGGGCCCAAAAGGACATGATTAGTTGTAGTGAGAAAAGATTTGGGGACTTATGGCCTCACTGAGGGTATGACCCTCAATGGAGTAGAATGACGGATCAGGGTTCATGTAGCTGACCCCAATTAGTTGGGAAAAGGCTTTGTTGATGAATAAATTATTTTTCAGAAGGGTATTTCTTCAACTTTCTGCCTTTTTCCTACCCACTATTTTCTTTAATTAATGAACTAAATTGATTTTAGTTTAAACAAAAACACTGAAAACTGTCAACAATTTCTTACTTTATAACTGAGAGACCTGTGTGGTTCCGCAATGCTGTGGCACTTCAAAGTAGGAAAGTATACCTAATCTGATGGACTTATGTTATGTGGTACCCCAAAGGGAATTCACTCGATGTCCTTGATGGCAACAATGGAGATCTACTGTAGTGGGGCCTTGGGACATCAATAAAATACATGAAATCTCCATCGTTCCTCATCAAGAAAAGAATAGCTCTTTACAATTGCCATATTGTATACTCTAATAGATGCCTAGTTTCTTTGTCCTTTCAAGATGTGTAGGTCTAAATATCAAAGGGCATTCACTCGATGTCCCTGATGGCAACAATGGAGATCTACTGTAGTGGGGCCCTGGGGCATTAGTAAAAATATAAGAAATCTCCACAGTTCCTCATCAAGAAAGAAGTTACTCAATTGCCATATTCCATACTCTAATAGATGCCTAGTTTGTTTATCCTTTCAAGATGTGTAGGTCTAAATTTATATTTTGTTTCCATGTCTAGTTTATTCATCCTTTCTTGTTTTTCATTAGAGGTTAATCTTCAAGTGCAAACTCTGGGCAGGTTAGCAAGTGATGGTCTTAAGGCCCTTTCTCTCTAGAACGCAAGTCATATTTGTGGATTTGCTTTGGAATCTTCCCTTTTAGTTCTTTTCCTTTATGTTGCACCTGTAATTGAGGGGTCTTGGGTTTGAGCCCATATCTCAATTGGCAGGTTCCGAAAGTTTCAACCTTGAGATGTGTGTTTGAACCTGACTAACCTTTTGGAAACAGAAAAGAGTGTTATTAACTAAGTATAGTATATAATCCTATGCTCCATGCAAAAACCATAGTCAATTGGGTTACCACCATTCATGGAAATGATGAAGAGACAAGGGCTACTTATGACAGGTCCCACCCTTGATCTATCATTGTCAACTGTTCCAATGTACGGTGTTGACCCAATAAACAACGGTTTCCATTTTCTCTTAGTTATTGTATAGTTCACTATTTTAATTATATGCAGGACTCTAGTCTTTTTCTTTATCCCACCAGCTTAAATAATGATCAGTGGCTTATTAACTCGGCTGCTGAACATTTGTATCTCTTCCTTCTGCAAAGCTGGAAACTTGGAACAGGCCGAAGCCCTAATTATAGACGGTATACGGCTTGGGTATCTTCCCGATGTTTACAATACTTTAATTGCTGCATATTGCCAGTTTCTCAGTGTTGATGCTGCATACTCAGTTCTTGACAAAATGAAAGAAGCTGGAACCTAGCCTGATGTTATCACTTACAATACTCTAATTGCCGGTGCTACCAAGAAAAAGCTTATACCACGGACCCTTGATTTGTTCCATGTGATGCTAGAGACTGGGATTGTTCTTGATTCTTGGAGCTACAGCCCAATGATTCAAAGCTGGAAGGCTTGATGATGCTTATCAGATTATCCAGGACATGTTCTCGAGGAACATTGCACCTACCTTAGCCGCATATAATACCATAATCAATGGCCTATGCAAGGCTGGTGACATAGGTGATGCCCTTAGATTGTTTAGGAAGCTTGATGGGCTCAGTTGCCGTCCAGAATTAATCAGATACAACATACTAATTGATGGACTGTGCAAGTGTGGCAAGACACATGAAGCGAGAAGGGTCCTCAAGGAGCTTGGGAAGATGGGTTATACCCCAAATGGCATAACTTATAGGACTGTCATAACCTGCTGTTTTCGATCAGGTAAAGCCAATCTTGGCTTTGAGCTCTTTTCTGAAATGAAGCATAAGGGCTACAATATCGATGGTGATGCCTTTGCATATTGTACAATGATTGGTGATATTTCCAAGTTGGGTATGATTGAAGGGGCTTATGCTTGCACAGACCGGATGCTTGGCTGTGGGGCCCCTATTGATATTGTTTCTTACAACACCATGATGAATAGCTATTGTAAAGAAGGGGACCTCAGCTTTTCGGCTTTTGAATGGGAAAAAGAGGATGGGGGTGATGAATATACCCATACAATACTGATTGATAGGTTGTGTAGGATAGGTGATGTGGATGCCACGATAAGGCATTTTAGATAAATGGAAATGAGGGGCTTGGGATCGAGCATTGTGGCCAGGAATTGCTTGATTCATGGGTTGTTTAAGGCTGGTCGGGTGGACTTAGCCATCAAGCGGTTTAGTGAGATGAAGGTAAAAGGCTCCTATACTTATACCTTGGTTTTGCATGGGCTTTGTTGGCTAAGAGATTCCATGTTGCTTTTAGGCTTTTGTTGGCTTGCTTGAAAGATGGCATGAAGGTCCTTACGTCAGCTCATCGTGCTGTCTTGGTTGTTTTAGGAAGGAATTGAGGAAGCTCAAGTCTGGAATTTGTCTGGTCAAGGGCTTACATACTTGAGAATGGGCCTCATATTTTCCTTGAATTGGTTGTCTAATGCAACTCCAAGAAATGGGTAACCAAGGTTTTGAGATTTGGAGCGGCATCTTTTCCTCGAATCCGTTAAGAAGCTCATCTCCTAGAAATGGGTGTTGCGAAGGTTCAAGAAATAAGGTGAGCTTGCAATATTGGGAGACGTATTGCCGTTTCTAGACCCAAGCTGTTATTGTGACTGACTCATGGAATGAGGGAAATAGCCTTTAGACATTATATTTGAAGTAATGCCTACCCGCCATGCCCAAAGACAATGAAGAGAGATATTTTTTGAATTGGTTGGTGTTGGATTCATTATTGGGGGTTGTTGGATTTCGCATTAGCTTCTTTCACGGTTTATTGGTGGACTATTTACAAGGCAGTTCACTGGAGAAGTGGAGGTGCCCAATTCATTCAAGCTGATAAAGGGTAATGAATAAGGAAGGTTGTTTATCAGTTTGACAAAGTTGCTTTTTGTAACAATTATTGTTTTATAAAATCGTTTTTTGTAACCACTATTGTTTTATCTATACCTGTATCATTAGGGATAAGGAAGAACAAATATGAGTGTGGTTATGAAATTTTGTCGTAATTATTTCTTTCCCTCTTAATTTAAAATAGCTTTTTCTCTGGAAACTCCAATACTTGCTCCTAAAATATGACTTCCAATCAAATTCATTATTTTTTTATCCCTCCGACCTAAAATCTCTCCTTAAACCCTCGGAAGCCTAATTACACCGACTATTGTTTTAGTTTCAAGGCACATTTTGTTTGCGTTAAAATGTTTTCTAGAAAACTTTTTCATATGAAAAAATTCTTTTATGTGATCAAGTGTGAGAATAGTTTGCATCAATTAGTTGTCAATTGGTATGAAAAGATACACTAAGACCAATTTATACGAAAATATTCTTATACTTGACCACATGAGAGAATTTTTTAATGTGAAAATGTTTTCAAAAAACTAGAAAATATTTCACATGAACCAAATGTGCAGTTAGTCTAAATTTCCTAGATAAATTAGGGCCAGCATTTTCCTAGATAAATTAGGAATAGCATCGAATTGTTATGGTTAGAATTCTAGTCCCCTCTCAAAATGCTGAAATCGCTAGTTGTATTAATTGATATTGCATGCTAAAATAGCGAGTGCTATTAATTCTTAGGGCTTTAATTATTCTTAGACCACAAAATTAAAAAAAATTTCTAGCGTTTACACCAAAATTATAAAATTTGGAAGTTGATCGGATTGTTTAAGGTCGTAAAAACCGCATCCTTTATGATATCATAAATATTCGGGGTTATAGAAAAAATAAAAATAAAAATATACAGGATACTTAAGAACAAAAAAACGGTTGCGTATATACCACACGAAAAAATAAAATAAAAAAACGGTTGGCGAACCAGAGAGCTTCTCTTTCCATTTCTCTTCGGTCTCTCTCCTCTCTCTTCTATCTCTCGGAGCCAAGAAAAAGAAAAAAAATCACCGTTGGCGATCGATTACTTACTTAACACGCGAACCAGGGAGCTTCTCTTTCTATTGCTCTTCTCTCTCTGGTCCAAGAAGAAGAAATAAAGAAATTGCCGTTGGCGATCGATTACTTACTTAACAAGCGAACCAGGGAGCTTCTCTTTCTATTGCTCTTCTCTCTCTTAACAAGCGAACCAGGGAGCTTCTCTTTCTATTGCTCTTCTCTCTCTAGGATCCAAGAAAAAGAAAAAGAAAGAGCCGTTGGCGATCGATTACTTAACACCCGAACCAGGGAGCTTCTCTTTTTATTGCTCTTCTTTCTCTCTCTCTACGATCCAAGAAAAAGAAAGAGCCGCTGGCGATCGATTACTTACTTAATACACGAACCGGGGAGCTTCTCTTTCTATTTCTCTTCTCTCTCTCTCTCTATTTCTCCTCTCTATAGCAGGCAGGCAAGGCAGCCATGAGGTTTGGTTTTTTGGTCAGGATGAAGAATGACCAACGGAACAAGTTTCTCTCTGTGAGAAAACCCGGCACTACGAGAGGCATCAGAAAAGTCCCTGCTGCTGCTGTACCTCAAGATCTCCTTCTCCCTGACCCAATTGTTATCTCACACGGCCCATATGTTGTGCTACGAGAAGTAGTTCGAATTCTGGGAATATTCTCGGAACGCCCTAGAGAAAACCCTCTTCTCCCTCGAGAGAAATTTTCAAATCTCTCTCTAGAAAGGAATCCACCTGCGCCTTTATCTCTGGAGAAATTTTCTACTCTCTCTCTAGAAGGAAACCCTCTTCCACCATTTCTCAGCTCTGTGGATCAAGCTGTTCACTTTCTCTCCCTAGAGGAAACATCACAGCGATCCCCACCATTTCTCAGCTCAATCCCCTCTGTGGATCAAGCTCTTCACTTTCTCTCTCTAGAGGAAACAACACCGCCATCCCCACCATTTCTCAGCTCAATCCCCTCTGCGGATCTAGCTCTTCACTTTCTCTCTCTAGAGGAGAAAACACCGCCATCCCCACCATTTCCCATCTCAACTCCCTCTGTGGATCAAGCTCTTCACTTTCTCTCTATAGAGGAAACAAAACCGCCATCCCCACCATTTCCCATCTCAACTCCCTCTGTGGATCAAGCTCTTCACTTTCTCTCTCTAGAGGAAACAAAACTGCCATCCCGTTTTAACAGATTTGTTGATTGTTGATTGTTGATTGTTGACTGCTTTAGTTCAAGTACCAAATAAATTTTCAAAACTAAATACCTGAAAAGTGCTCAATGAACTAGTTTTTGGTAAGCCTTTGAATAAGAACATTGAATAATCTATTTTGATAAAAATCAGATTTTATTGATTTATTACATGTATACTGATTTTCACATATTTTATTGTTCGACCACGCATATTTTAATCAATTTTAGTTGGATTAAGATGTTTTTTTGAAAGATCTTTTGATTGGTTGGTTATTATCTTCTCAAATTCAGTCATATCGTCATATGTTGCTGTGTTTCTACAATTGCCCTAATTCTTTACTCTGTTTTTAGGGGACATCAATCTTTTTTGATGTGGTCATGGATCATGATGCGCACTGATTTTTATTTCTGTGACTTTCCATATGCAACGATTTTGGTAACTGGCTGCAATCAATCTTGGTGATATTGTACTGGTTTTTATTATGTGGTGGTTCTAGCTTATCAAAGAGATGCATGGCAGTTTATTCTCTTTTTTAATGGTAAAGAAATGCATACTGATTTGTTTATTTTATTTTTGGTGGTGGTTGTACCCTCTGAATAAAATTGGCAAAGAGGTGCATACTGATTTTTTTATATTATTTTTGGTGGTGGTTGTACCCTTCGGATAAAATTGGTAAAGAGTTGCATATTGATTTTTTTATTTTACTTTTGGTGGTTGTACCTTCTGAATTTTCGATTTTATTATAGAACTCTTCTTAATCGGCATCAAATGTTTTTATCTTCATATATTATCTTCACTTGAATAAATTTGGTGTGACTTGGTTCATTTAACACATTTCTCATGATTCATATACAAGAACCATGCATTGGTTAAGTTGATTGTCCATGTAATTTTTTTTGAGTCGTATTGTTCTATTACAACTCTAGTTGTAGTAGAAAGTCAACAGCTGCATCATGATCACTTCGTAATGAGATGATATTTGTCAAATATTGTTAGGATTGATCCTCTCTTGAGTACCATCTAAAAATGGTTGCGGATGTCTTACTTTTTGGGTTAAGTTGATTCTCCATGTTATAGAGAGATTGAAACCCATCCACGTCATAACCCAAAAAGTAAGACATTTACAACCATTTTTAGATAGTACTCAAGAGAGAGGGTGAAACTAATCAATCCTAATAATATTTCATAAACATCATCTCATTACAAAGTGATCATGATGTAGCTATTGACTTTCTATTGCAACTACTGTCGTAGTAGAACAGTACAATTTTAAAAAAATTACATGGACAATCAACTTAACCAATGCACGGTTCTTGTATGTGAATCATGATAAATGTGTTAAATGAACCAAGTCATACCAAATTTATTAAATCAATTCAAGTGATGATAATATATGAAGATGAAAACATTTGATGCCGGTTTAGAAGAGTTCTACAGTAAAATCGAAAATTCAGAGGGTACAACCACCACCAAAGATGACGTGGATGGGTTTCAATCTCTCTATAACATTGGACATGTGTTATGACAGGTTATATATTTTCTTTATGTGTTTGAGGATTTGTTGATGTATTTGGGAATTGAGCCTTCATGAATCTTTGTTCCATGATTGTCCATTGCTTTAATTATGCATTTTGCTATATGAGTTTGGTCTCTAGTACACCTTCATTATGCATTTTGATGCTCATAATATAGCATTGCTGATTTTAATTATACATCAGACTTATCGAAAAAGAGCTTATAGCTCTTGCACCACACTAGCTTCCCTATCCAAATCCATTGGACATTCTGACTCTATGGAGGCAGAAGTAACTGCCCTTCTTGAAGGCCTCAAACTTTGTCTTCCTTACCTCTCGTAGCCCCTCATAATCGTAGGAGACTCAAAAAATATTATTGCTTCGGCCTCATTGAAGCATATTTGGAGGGAAGGAAAATAGGCAGCGGACTCTCTAGCTAAAGATGGAGCAGCTTTAGTTCACATTTGATTTTTGGGATCGACATCTTTTTTATGGTTGCTTTGTTTCTATAGTTGCAGGGATATGCGTGACACATGGAGGCACATTTGGAGGGAAGGAAAATAGGCAGCGGACTCTCTAGCTAAAGATGGAGCAGCTTTAGTTCATGTTTGATTTTTGGGATCGACATCTTTTTGATGGTTGCTTTGTTTCTGACACTGTAACTACCAAAACGATATGTTTTTTGGATTCTACTCTATCTCACCCCCCTTTTCATAAGGGTTCTGTTAATTTTCCGCCTGTGGAAAATCACTTCTCTTCTTTTCTCTGTACTCCCGCTTATACTATATAAAAATCAACATTATCTAAAAAAAAAAGAGCTCATGAATGACTGCTGGTCTTGAAGTTCTGGAATTCTTGATGAACTGCTGGTTTAAGTGTTTTTTTTTTTTTACTGTCCCCCTATTTTTATTGAACTCATGGATGTGAACGGCCCACTCTGAGCAAGGCAATGCATAGCATTACTGATTTTAAAAAGCTCTCTCTTAATTAATGTGGTTTGTCTCTACATTTTGCAATCTACTAAAATACAATGTAATGAAATTGAGTATAATTGGAATTGTAGGCAAGGAAAATTGTCTAGAGCTTTGTTGTTTGTTTCTTACATGACTGCATTCAGCAAAATTGGACCAAGGTTTGCAAGCAAATTATACTTTATCCTTGTTTGATAATTGCATGACTTGTTTTCTGTTTTAGGCATTCTGTTTGTGCCTTTAGCAGTGTGATGTGCTTTGTATAATTTGGCAGGGTGATGTTGTCTTGAAGTTCTGGAATTCTTGATGAACTGCTGGTTTAAGTGTTTTTTATTATTATTTTTTTTTACTTTCCCCCTATTTTTATTGAACTCATGAATGTGAACGGCCCACTCTGAGCAAGGCTCAATGCGTAGCATTTCTGATTTTAAAAAGCTCTCTCTCAATTAATGTCGTTTGTCTCTACATTTTGCAATCTACTGAAATACAATGTTCTGAAATTGAGTATAATTGGAATTGTAGACAAGGAAAATTGTCTAGAGCTTTGTTGTTTTTCTTACATGACTGTATTCAACAAAATTGACCAAGGTATGCAAGCAAATTATACTTGATCCTTGTTTGATAATTGCATGACTTGTTTTCTGTTTTGGGCATTCTGTTTGTGCCTTTAGCAGTGTGATGTGGTTCATATAATTTGCATCCAGTGAAGCCCATGCCATATATTGGTGGTGAGAAAATTGAAATTAAGCTTTTGTTGCTTACTTCATCCTATTTTGAAATCTAGAGGCTAGCAAAATTTGTGGGACTATCTTTGTTTCAGACTGATGCTTTATTTATATGTTTCAAGCTATGCAAGAGCTCCATTGAAAAAATCGGCAGGGTGGTGCAAGAGTTAGAGTTTTAGAGAGAGAGAGCCTCCATTGAAGAAAATCAGTTGGGTAGTGCAAGTGCTACTAGTTTCATAGGTCGAGTTGTGGCAATGGTGCTCTCTCAAGCTGCCCCAGCCCTTGCTTTCTTTCATGGCAGTTCCTACTCAGACAATAGAGTGAAGCCCTCCCCTCTCTTGGTTTCAGGTACAATTTTCTATTCTGATTGATCTCTCTCGCTACAGAATAACGCATACATGACACTGTTTCTTGGGTGATTTTTGACATTGTTGTGGTTTCATGTGTTTACTTGCTTTATTTAAAATTCATACTTTTGATGGGTTCAGTTTGTGTCAATGGTTGAAATGTCGAGATCTTGAGATTTTAATTACTTTTGTTAAGCATTTAAGCGTTTTTGCTTTTGTCCGTTATGACATTGGTTCAAAATATCAGGTGGTTTACCTTCTCTTAATTTAATGGTAATGGCATGATGTGGATGTGGAGGCTCGACTGGTGCAACTGCTCCTACCTGAGTCCCGAACTCTTGGCCTGGGGTTCCTAGTCGATACACATTCTGTTTGTGCCTTTTGCAGTGTGATGTGGTTCATATAATTTGCATCCAGTGGTGCCCATGCCATATATTTGTGGTGAGAAAATTGAAATTAAGCTTTTGTTGCTTACTGAATCCTCTTTAGAAATCTACAGGCTAGCAAAATTTGTGGCTAGCAAAATTTGTGGGACAATCTTTCTTTTAGACTGATGCATTATTTATATGTTTCAAGCTATGCACGAGCTGCATTGAAAAAATCAGCTGGGTGGTGCGAGAGAGAGAGAGAGAGAGAGAGAGAGAGAGAGAGCTCTATTGAAGAAAAACGGTTGGGTGGTGCAAGAGCTAGTGTTCATAGGTCGAGTCGTGGCAATGGCACTCTCTTAAGCTGTCCCAGCCCTTGCTTTCTTCCATGGCAGTTCAAGTCAGACAGTAGAATGAAGCCCTCCCCTCTCTTGGTTGCAGGTGCAATTTTCTATGCTGATCTCTCTCTCTCTCTTGCTCTAGAATAACGCATACATGACACTGTTTCGTAGGTGATTTTTGACATTGTTGTGGCTTCCTGTGTTTACTTGCTTTTTTTAAATTTCATGCTTTTGATGGGTTCAGTTTCTGTGTGTGATATAGGCATCCTTTATAGGCTTCTTGAATGTGGAAAACAACATCGGAGTGTCACTAAATATGGATGCTTAACTGAATTTAACCTCCACTGTGGTGTTTCCCACATGGGATGATGCTGGGATGTGAATTTGAATGGTCATAGCTGATGTTTATTAAGCACTTGGTGAAAACTATGTCCTAGATTGCTACCATTCTGTAAATGGTCATTTATGATTTGAATTTGACCTCTAAAACTTTGAGTGGGTTATCATATAGACATGCTAACTTCTCTTACTGTTTATCTATAATGTCCCCTTGAAATGTTATAGGCAAAGCTACACTTGACACAAAGTTTTGTGCATTTATATGGCAATCTGTTCGAGGAACGGTAACGTGGCACCTGGTCCATTTGTGTCGGAGCCCCATTAAATTTGCTTTCGATTTTGACCCGGCCTTCAACTCTCCTTGTACTAAATTTCTTTCTCTATCATTCTTCTGTTTTTGTATGAAATTATTAATTCTATACTACCACGTTGGTGCTGGTCTCATCAACACAAGAACCACCTGCTCTTACTTCCAAAATGTTTAGAATTTAGATTTCAGAGAACTTCTCTTCCCACTCACCAAAGAAAAACACACACACACACACACACACACACAGATGTTTCCAATTGGATGTCTATAGGAAACGAGACGCAATGGAAAGTGCAGTTACAAATCGAGGAGCATGCGAGGTACCTCCAAAAGATGGCTGATGAGCGACAGATATGCGGTGAGAATCGAGTTAGAAGCCAGAATTTGTACATTCCTTTTCAGAGAAACATCTCATAGATCTTGAAACATTGATTCAAGTTTAAATTATGAACTTTTGGACAGGACTCCATCAAGACACTGGGTTGTGGGCCTTACTTTAGCATGAGACAGTGATGCCATCAGAGTTGGGTCAAGTCAATTCATGAATATATATTGTCTGGGGGTAAACGGGTAAACTATCACAATTTACCCCCACTTTTTCAAGCTTATGCAGTATTCACTTCATGGTGTATATATTTTTGGTAATCATGTTCTATACCTATTTGCTTTTATTCCTTATGACAATGGCTGAAATGTTGAGATCTTTAGATTTTAATTACTTTTGTTAAGCATTA